ATAATAGATAAATAACCTACATAAAGTTTTTTTGTTAAAGAATAAATCATATAAAGTTGAAAAAAGTTATTTAATTTGTCTATATAAAAATAGTACTACAACAAGTTTTGTGTTTTTGAAAAAGAGATCTCGTTGTATCACGAGATTATTTATCTAAACTCGAAATAATTTTATATATAGATAAATTAAATGGTGGTGTAGTTGATGGTCTGGTATCTTTGAAAAGGGTCAACTTCTATTATACCATCTATGTGCTACATCAACATCCACTCATACCCTCCTCCTAAAAAAAATTTCAACTTCTATAATACTCTCTTTAATACACAATGACTGAAATACCCTTAATATATTATATTACATAATTTTTTTAATAAAAAATATTCCTCCTAAAATATAGGGTTTTTCTCTCTCCTCCATTTTTCGATTTCTCTCTCTTCTTTTTTTGAGTTTCTCTCTCTTGCCACTCTCTCTCATCGAATTTGGTCATTCTCTCTCCTGCATTTTCTCTCTATTCTTATTTTTTTCATCAAAATCGCTCGAAATCAAAGTAGAATCAGTGAAAAATTAGCGAAGAGTTGGAAATAAATAATCAATTGCGAAAATCTTATTGTTTTTCATATACATTGATGGTTGTGGGGGTTAATTTGATGAAGAATGATGTTTTTTCCACTTCTTTTCTTCTACTTGGTGATGTTTGTGAAGTTTTATCCTTTGTTGTATGGTATTGTCATAGATCTGATTCGGATGGTATAAGGTTCGCATGGTCACATGGTACCAGGTTCGCATGGTCACATGGTACCAGATTTGCATGGTCACATGGTACCATGTTCACATGGTCACAAGGTACCAGGTTCACATGGTCACACGATCACATGATCTCCATAATAGTCGGATTGATAATAATGGTCACATGGATTTAAATTAAATGGTCGAATGGTAATATTGATCACATGTTACTATGTTCATATGATCACATAGTCACATAGTCAAAAATGGTAATAATGGTCACATGGTCACTGTGTCCAGAATAGTCAAATTGATCTGCATTTTGTATTTATAATTTCTACAACTATTATAGACGGACGAGATGAGAGATCGACAATTGTATATTTTCTTTATGATGGTAAATGGATAATGAATAAGAATGGAGAATATGAATGAGAAGGAAAGGTGATGAAAATTGATCTGCATTTTGTATTTATAATTTCTACAACTATTATAGACGGACGAGATGAGAGATCGACAATTGTATATTTTCTTTATGATGGTAAATGGATAATGAATAAGAATGGAGAATATGAATGAGAAGGAAAGGTGATGAAAACCAAAGAGTGTTGGAAGTTACTTTATCCGGCTGTAATTGGAAGTTGCGTACGACATTGATCTTAAACTCGAAACGTTGGAGTGTAAGAAAATACAATCTCATGCATAGTTGCAAACTCGTATCAAAATTTAACAAAGCTATGAAGGGTACAAAGAAATTGGAAGACAAATAAAAAAATGAGAGTCCTAAACAAAACCGCTTTTCAGGTCCTAGTGAAGTCCTAAAGCGGATCTATGTCACAATAGGAGTATCAACATCAACAAAGTTTGAAAGAAACCCTAATTTTGAATGAATAAAGAAATATAAAGGGAAAATACCTAAAAACTCCTAAACTTGTAATTTGGTGTAATATCAATTCCTGAACTTGTAGGTGCGCCTATTTATTCCCGAACTTGTATTTTTTAACACAATAATTCCTAAACTTGTTTAACAGTTCCAAAATCTTCCATACCGCTAATTAACCAAAGCAAAGTTTAGGAATTACTGTGTTCAAAAATACAAGTTTAGGAATTACTGTGTTCAAAAATGCAAGTTTAGGAATTAATATGTTCAAAAATACAAGTTCGGGAATAAATAGGCGCACCTACAAGTTCAAGAATTAATATTACACCAAATTACAAGTTTAGGAATTTTTAGGTATTTTTTCCAAATATAAATTGTATAATAATGTTATATTATATTTGTACACTTAAACATTAAGACCTTACTTTGTATAATAATGTATTAAAATAATACGTTATAATACTTTGGTTCTATTCTACATATTAAAAAAACAGTAAATAATTTATCTCATATGAGTAGTGGTTGGGTCCCATATGACCAGTATGTGACCAATGTGACCAATGTGCAATTTTACACTATGTGACCATTGTGACCAGATGTGACCTGTGACCAAGTGACGAAGGTAAATACAGGTGAAAACGTAGTTTTCAAGCTTTGGTCTGTTATTATAAGGTATAAGGAATATAAATATTATGTTGATGACAAAATTACAAAACATTAAGACGAGTTTAATATAAAAAGATCAAAATTGTCAAAATTCTTCATAAAAAACTATGAACACTAATGTATCACATTTGTGAGAACTACTTTTATACACAAAATTCGAATAACTCAATTATTATAGTTAAATATAGTTCACAATGGTGCATAAGGAAGATGTGATGACATTCAGATCGATTCATTTGAAAGAATCCACTAAATCGACCCTTGTGACTAACTGTGACCAACTGTGACCCATTGTGACCGAAATATTGTGGGTCCCAGTTTGAACATGCAATATTTTTTGTGGGGCCCAGTATAATCCAAGTGTACAAAAAAAGTTACGGTTGACGTGGAATCCAACATTTTCAACCCATATTTTTTAGCATCCAATATTTTTTGGCCCAAATTTTTTTCCCTCCAAAATTTTCCAACCCAAAATTTTTTCCCTCCAAAATTTTTCAACCTAAAATTTTTACCTTTCAATAGTTTTCACCCCACATGTTCAGATATAAAATAAACATAAAACATTATATCATAACACAAAATTCTGTGAATTTATAATAAACAAACAAAAGATCATAACAAAAAGAAATAAGTACATAACATAAATAAGTTCTTGATTCTACTTCTGAACACTTCCATTAACAAATATGGTGGTTGTCAATTGCTTACGCATCTTGGTGACATTGTCATCACATATAGTTGTTGTTCTTCTTAACATTGTCCTTGTTCTTGTTCTTTTTCTGCTCGCTCGTCTTCTACTTATTCCTCATCTATCAGACTTTTTCCTTTCTTCTTAGAAAACTTTCTCAAACGAATTTTCAAGTCATGAACTCGACGACGTCAATTCCTCCAAATAAAAAAGAAGTGCTTCTTCAAACGTTTCTTTATTTATTATACTCTTAATTTTCTGAAATAGATGTGACTTTATGTTATTATATTAAACCAAGTGACCATGACACCAACAGACTATGTGATCATGTCATCAAGACACCATGTGACCATGTGAACATGGTACCATGTGACCATGCCAATATGGTACCATGTGACCATGGTATCATGTGACCATGCCAATATGGTACCATGTGACCATGTGAACATGATACCATGTGACCATAAAACCTGTGACCAAGTGACCATGCGTGAACTAAATCATCTTATAGACTGTGATATTTCCACTTTGTGACCATACAATTATGTGACCTAAATCAACATATCATTGTTCACCCAAACATCGACCCATACATCCATATGACCCAAAACTTGAAATTTTATATTACAATCGATTACTTAACTTCAAACCCAAAATCTATTTTGAAATCTCAGAAATTTCAAAAAACATAACTCTAAGTTTCTATCCGTCAAATCTCAACCCCAATACTTCAACTCAACATTAAATATTGCCAAAATCCAACAAATTTCACAAAAAAAAAGAAGTAACCTACCACATGTTCGTCTAACTCTGCAATTCGTATTCGGTTTTTGGTCTCGGTCGAAGATGCCGATGAAGTTGAATATTGGGCTGATGTCGAAGCCATTTTTTGTTGTCTTCTTCGCTTCTTCTTCTTCTTTGAGTCTTGAGTCTTAAGAGAGTTAAAGAGAGGAAGATTCTGCAGAGAAATCGGATTTAAATCTGCAAGAAATCGACGATTTCGATAGGAAGAGAGAAGAGATAGTGAGAATTAGGAGAGAGAAAGAGGATCGTGGGGTTGAGCTAGGAGAGAGAAGATAAAATAGTTTTTCTTTAATTCATATGTAATACTTTATCAGTAGGAGAGAGAATATAAAATAGTTTATTTTTTATATTTTAAATTCAGACAGAGTACTTTTTCGTCTTTGTATATTTGTGTGAGGGTTAATCTGTCTTTTTCAATGTTCAATCACTTTTTTTTTTAATTTGAATTTTCAAGGGTATGTTAAGAAGTCCTTGCAGGAGTCAAAGGGTAGATTGGATATATCCCCCTTTGAAAACCCGTAGAAGAAATTTTAGGATATCTAGATCTCTTTCTCCGTTTTCGTATCGACTGTCGTCATCACAGCCGTGAGAATAATTTGTAAATTGGAAAATATATGAAAATTTTGTATGGCATATTCTAGGAAATTGGAGATTTTTTATGGAATTTTTCTTCAATTTTTTTTATAAAAATTTAAAATATTGAATATTTTTTTGTTACATAATAAAAATTTAATTTCAATTTGAAAATGTAACATTTTCTAAATTGGAGAATATATATACTAAATTGGAGATTATACTAAATTTTCAATTAGAAATTTGTATGACATATTAAGAAATTGCAGAATTTATATGAAAATTTTCCTCCAACTTTATGATAAAAATTTTAAAATTGAACAATTTTTTTTGTAAAACTTTAAAGATATGAATATGAAAGTGAGACTAATAGTTATCTATGATTTTTTTTGGGATTTTTAATCATCTCACAATCATATCGGCATATAAATTTTCAATTAGAAATTTGTATGACATATTAAGAAATTGCAGAATTTATATGAAAATTTTCCTCCAACTTTATGATAAAAGTTTTAAAATTGAACAATTTTTTTTGTAAAACTTTAAAGATATGAATATGAAAGTGAGACTAATAGTTATCTATGATTTTTTTTGGGATTTTTAATCATCTCACAATCATATCAGCATATAAAGAGATTAAATACTTTACCAACATCTTGTTCATGTGTCAAATTTTAAAATTTTAATTTAAAACACAATCACCATAAACGATTTGATTATTTTCACATAGAAAAGATTCAAGTATTTTCTTCCTAGGAACAAAGCCATGACAACATGGACCTGCTGTATGACATGAACAGAAGAATTGCATATTGCACCATGCTCGTGTAGCCTGAAATATAAAAGAACATCACAACAGACTACGAATTTTTGGTGCTTTACTTGAACACAAATGAAGAGAGATTTGAAGAAATATGATTCAACATTGGATAAATCCAACATTGGAACCAGTTGGAACACAGAACAAATGACATAAAAAGAGATAGCAAAGCAATTCAGACAACTTTGAAAACCCATTTCCAAACAGAAGAAATCAAAACATGCATCACTTCAGAACACAATGACGAGACCAATAATCATCAAAGTGAGTAATGGGTAAGTGCCTAGATCCTGCACCATCTGAAATCCGTCAGGGATAGATTCGATCATGCTCCAAAGTAACAAGTAACATCTTCACCAGAAATATACATGTACCCAAGAGGGCAAAGCAAATCAGAGAACTTTGAAGACCATATTTGAATCAGAAGATATCAACATGTACCCACTTCAGAGATATATGTTCTCATCATCTTGCTCTACTTCCCCTCACAACTAGTAAATATCCAACCCTATTAAGAACTGCCAAGATAGAAGAGGCAACCCAAATCGCCGGTTTCGTGAAAAAAATTCAAACCTTTAACACATGTTGAAACCCAGATAAGTTGGCATTAGAGAGACGGCAAAGCAATTCAGAGAACTTTGAAGACCATATTTGACACAAGATATCGTCATGTCTGACTTCGGACACAAATGTTCTCATCACAATGCTCTGCTTCCCAAACAACAGAACCAATCAACGAAACAGATACCAAGCGGTAAAAGAGCGAGAAATAGAATCCTGTTTTGTAGGCCTAAACGCAAATTCTGAGCAGTTGAGAGATTTCTACAACAGCCCAGATCGGGGAAACAACGCTAATTGCCTCAACTTTAGCACCGGTTTATACCCTTTTTTCTCGATTTGTTCCTCGCATCTATAAGCTCGAAGATGCGAGGGGCTAATCGGTGCGAACTTCCATCTGTATAGATACTACAAAAAAAATATTCGGCCTATTGACACGAATTCGACGAAACCCAGAAATCGGTAACGTCTACACGATTATACCTCTAAGAAAGAATCGAAATCAACTAATGTTTTCGATCCAAAACCGAAAACGAGGATCGGAGATGGGCGAAATGAGAGAGACTTAGCACTTCGCCATTGGCTTTGCGACTGGTCGATTAGAGATTAGGGTTTTCCGGTATTTAAAGAGGACTACACCGGGTCGGGCACAAAATCGGGCCGGGTAGGTTCTTTGTAAAGATTTAGATTTCCTGCCGTTCAAGAACTTTGTTGAAGGACTACGCGTCGTTTCTCTATCTTAAACAAAGTGAAAAATAAAACATTACAAAGAAATAATTTACATCACAAGATACAAAATTACAAATGGTATCCAACTGATACACAACCAATGAGTAGTGGCAATAGCCAGGAGAATTTCCTTCTCCTCCCAGCAAACTAGAGGGGATTTTCAGAGCTCTTGTTTGACAAAAGCCAAGGCCAAGAAGGAAATAATTAACACAAAAACGACGGGCAAAACCCGAATGGGCCTCCATCTATTTGCCTTGCTAATATCTGTGGCTTCGTTCTTCGTTCCTGCTCCGCCCTCATCAGACACAGAAGGGTCTGATTCAGTTTCAGGTCCTGTTCCATCCACTGTTGTCTCATCCTCCTATATAAACAAGAGCAAGATCTCAAAACATCAATTATTCTTCATACACATCAATGGTGTCAGTTCAGTTTCTCATGCATAGTTTCCTTGTTTTGGCAAAGTACCTGCCTGCAGAGTTTTAGCAAAGGCCTCTGTTTTGCAACCATCTTCACGAAAATGTAGCTCTTTGTCATCTCGATCTCCAGTGGAAGATTCATATTCTTGATGTTTGTTTCCCACTTTGCGCAACCTCGATAACTCGTTTTCCTTTGCCAAAGAATATAGCTGCACATAACGTTAACGTGTCAACAATGAACTAATTCTAACTTGTTTTCCTTTTCTTTAGTGCAGCACGTAGGAAGAGAAGAGGTACCCGTTCTTGTATACGTTCCCTTTCAGTGGCTAGTTGCATGACCATATCCATCAAAAGCTTGTTCCTCGCATTTATTTCTTGCGCACTTCTCTGTTTTTCATGTTTACTTTGATCCAGCAATACTTCTAAGGATTCAACTCTTTCCCTCAGAAAGGTCACTTTCAAAGTTGGTTGTGGACAACTCAATACACTGCTCCTCCACCGAATCTCTCCCGGTTTCAGCTTTCGAGACCTTTGATTTGAGTTCTTCTATTAAAGTCTCCATGTCCCATATTGCTGAATATAGCATGTTCTGCTGTTCTTGACTCGCTTCTGATGATGCCCTCGAGTTTTGCAGTAGAACTTCTAACTCCCTCAGTTGCTTCTCGAGTGAAGTCACCTTCTTCCTATTTTTATCATCAGCCTCTTTGAGAAAATTTATTTCCTCGGTAAGTTCAAGATTTGCAGCCGTTAGTTCTTTTATCTTTGTTTCTCCACTTTCCACTCTACTTTCAGCCTCGAAGAGGCTTTCTTTTAGCGACTCAGTTGCATTTTCCATTTCAGCAAGCTGTACTAGAATTTCTTGTTTAGAGATACCAACACTTTTCAGCTCGAGTTCGGTATTTTTTAGCTTCTGTTCGGCTGACTTCACATTTTCCCTCAAAGAGAGTACTTCTGAAACTAACTTCATACCTTCTCCATTGCTTTCCTCAAGCTTTTGCAAGCGAATATCTTTGGCTTTGTTTTGTGCAATACAATCTTCAAGCTTAGACTTAAGTTCAGACTCCCGCTGGACTGACCCATTCAGATTAAACTGGAGAATCTGAAGTTTACCGATGAGTTCCTTTGAAATCCCCATAAGCACCTCTGAAGAATTTTCCGCCTCTAAAAACCGTCCCCATATAACTTCTGATGCTTCTTCCATCCGAGAAACCACCTCCCCAGTGTAGTGTAGCTTGAGTTGCAGCTGTTCTTCATTTTGCCGAAATCCTGATAACTTCTTCTCGAGCTCTAGCTCTCTTCCCAAAGACTTCTCCAGCATCGTCAGAACATGTTTCTGCCTTAAATCTGACGGTCTTCTCAACTTTCTACCGACATCCTTCAGGTGACTGTTTCTCGGGAACTCCATTGACTCATCGTTTTCACCTGCCAACATGGTTATTCATTTTAACAGCCATATCTCCAGAATCTCAAAGATCCAAAACACAAAGATTCTTTCAGTGAGCTAAAAAAGTGCTGTTACCTCCACCATTTTTTATATAATGAAGCGTTCTTTGGAGCTGTGCTAATTGCAATGTGATCTCTGAGAGTTGCCCCCTAGACTGCTTCAAAGATTCAGCAGAATCATCCAACTTGCTTCCCATAATAACATAAATTTCTTTTGTTTGTCCACATGAAGATAGCTTGTATGACATGTCAATAACTTGGGCTTCGAGCACATCCAAGAACTCGTCCACCCCCCTTAACTCGGACTCCAAAATACCACATAAGAGATCAAACGTCAAAGCTTTCTCCATTGATCCTGTAGAATCAGTTATGGCCATGCCTTCAAGATCACTATCCCAGGCTAGTAGGTGCATGAGAAGAACATGAAAATTCAGCAGCTTTTCTGAAGTATATGTTGTGTCCAAGTCTATTTCTGTCAAGATCCTCAACATATCATTCATCTCTTGCATGTCACTCTCGCTATCCAAGGCCTCACTCTCCATAGACATCTCGGGAATAGTTTCTTCAACTTCGACACCTAAGCCCTGAAAGGTGAACTGGAACGTAAACACCAGCCAACAAGATGATAGAGAGTACTACCATTCTTGTTCATGAAAGAATGATGGAATCAGAAACTAACCTTTTAAGACGAAAATGCAGTAAAAAGAACAAGAAACAGAAAGATGAAACAGAAATCGACACACCCCATATATGTGATTCATCACCAAGATTTTCAGACAACTAAAGACATGTGCATCAAAAAAGCTAACACCAGATAATACACCAGTTCTTGTTTGACCACTCTGGAATCAAAACATCCTGAAGTTGAGGAATCTACAGTTATTTTCCAAAGCAAGTCCCAATTGTAGTGCCATTCAAAAGATGGGTCAAACCACTGTTTCTCCATTGAAAAAAAAACACTCAATCCACGACTAAAACCAAGAACCGACATCCAATCATGAGAATACCGACCAAACCTCAACTATGTTTGGCTTCCTAGTGGCAAATTCAGCATTTTCAATAACAAATACATTATCGAGAATATAAAGACCAACATTTCTACCAACTTTAGCCATAAAAACGAGGAAAGTATCAAAATTCTACTAACAAAATGTAACAATGAGAGAACCCAGTTGCTTGATACAGCAACTGCGCAAGATCGAGATATCAAAACACAGATAAAATCATAACGATAACAAAGGGGAAGAGAACGATCAAATGGGTTCTTAGAGACCGACCTGAACGATGAAACTCCGACGGGATTCGTTGAATTCGGCGATCAAGAGGATCACGAGTCTTCTCCTTCCAAAGAAGCTATTGAATTTTTCTCTTCCTTGTGGAAGACGGACGATCCTCTGGGTATTTTTTTTTCCTGGCGTCGGTACTGAATGCTAAAATGCGCGGGATGCCCACAGATCAGTCAACGACCGCGGGAGCGTGCGCATGATAGACGCGGGGTCATGCGCACGTTAGCAGCAAGGGCGCTTCTGTGGTGGACGTTGAATTATTGAGCAGAAACAGAATAGACAACGGAAAAAGCAAACGAGCTTCTCTTACCATTGGCTGGTTCCAGCCAGAAGAAGCAGAAAAAACGACAAAAAATAAACTTGCTCTCGTGATGCATACACACACACACACACATTATACACAAAACGTATTATATGCAAAATATATAACGTAAATTTTGAATTTCTAAAATTCGAAATTTGGATAAGGAAATAACATTTACATTCTGTATTTTTTTTTATAAACATTACGAAACATGCAGTTTAAAATTTTAACTCGCTGTAAAATTCATTTGAAAAATATATATGATTGGATCGTGTTAGAATCTGCATCAAATATCGAAAGATCCGTAAAAGACTGGACATTAATATGGGCCGATCAGGATTAGGCCTTGGGGCAATAACTATATATATATATATGTGTACGCCCAATATTTAAAATGCTCATAAGATAAATTTTTTAGCCCAACCTTCCCTGAATATCCCTCGGGTAAGCGAGGTCCAACCCCCTGAATTGATGGGGGCCCTTCCCCCAGAAGAGAATGTTTCGCTAGTCACAACATCATTGAATTCCGAAGCTGATGTGGGAGCTCAGGATCCTGAGGAGGGGGTGACCACTAGAACAGAACAACTGCCAAATTCTGAGCAAATAAATTCTTCTAATACCAGTCCTCAGTGCTCCAACATGGAGACTGAGTTTCAACAGGTCAAACCTAAAAGGGTCGAGGCAGAGGTCGAGGTCGCGGTCGGAAGACCGTGGGTGAAAACTAACCAAGGTATCAGGATTCCATGATTTTTTGTTGGAATAGTAGAGGGCTCAATAGTCGGAATAAAAGCCAGGCAGTGAAGTCCTGGTTAGTGGCACACAAACCTGCGGTAGGTGCCCTTTTGGAGAGTCACATTCTTGCGCAGAATGAGGCTCGTATTTTGGCTGCAATTCCCCAAGGTTGGAGGTACTTCTCCAACTACCCAGCGGATCCCACGGGTCGAATTTGGATCATTTGGAGCCCGGAGACGATTGTCACCATATATCATGTCACCGATCAAGCCGTTACCTGTGGCATTGAGAACCATAACATTGGCCTCAAAACCACTGCTACTTTTGTGTATGCGAGGAACCTGCCCTCCGCGAGAATACCACTTTGGACCGATATTAGAAATCTCGCCAACTATCCCTTGATGGAGAACACGCCTTGGATCATGTTAGGAGGCTTTAATCAAATACTCAGCCCGGATGAACGATCAGATTATCCTGGTTTTCAGCCCCGCTCCATTGGTTTATTTGATTTTGCTAGCTGCCTTGAAGATGTTGGGATGTTTGATATATGTGGGAAAGGAAATCGCTTCACTTGGTGGAATAACCAGGTGGAAAATCCAGTGGCAGTCAAATTAGATAGGGTCCTTATCAATGAGCAGTGGTTTGACAAATTCCCCGGAGCATATGCGGAATTCTTGGCCCCGGGTGTATCTGATCACTCTCCTTATATCGTTCATTTTCCGAGCATGCAATCCAGAATTAAGAGGCCTTTCAAGTATTTTGACCATCTCTCAACACACCCGGACTTTGGACAAACAGTAAGTGATCACTGGATGTTTGAGGAGACACAAGGGACAAGATAGTTTAAATTCTGTAGTAGTCTGAGGCTCCTTAAATGCCCGCTGCGAAGACTGAATAGAAGGAACTTCAATCGACTGCCCCAAAAAGTAAAGGAAGAAGAGGCCAAACTTGAGAGGATACAATCTGACATCCTCAGATCCCCCACATCAGCTCTTGCAGCCCAGGAACATTCGACCCAGAAAAACCTATTATGGTTGAGACAAGCGGAAGAAAGGTTCTTTCGCCAAAAAGCTCGAATTACTTGGCTAAAACTTGGAGATAGAAATAACTCGTTCTTTCATAACTCGGCACGGCAGAGGGCTGCCCGCAACCATATTCAGTTTTTCATGGATGGAGAGGGAAACAAGATCACTGGATCGTCTGCCATCAAGGACCACGCTGTCTCCTTCTATACGGCACTTCTAGGCTCCTCAGACCCAAAAATTCGTCGAGCTCCCGCCTCATGGCTGGCTGAATTATTTCCTTCCACTTGCCCATCGGAAATAAAGTCCTCCTTGACATTAGAGGTTACCCTTGAGGAGGTGAAGTCGGTTTTCAACTCCATGGCAAACCACCCATGGAGTTCTTCCGCAATGGAAAACTACTAAAAGAGCTCAATGCGACCATCATCACATTGGTTCCGAAGATCCCAGAAGCCATTAACCTTAGGGACTTTAGACCAATCAGTTGTTGTAAAAATCTCAACGATAACAAAGGGGAAGAGAACGATCAAATGGGTTCTTAGAGACCGACCTGAGTACCTGCCTGCAGAGTTATTTCCAAAATCATTGCTAACCGGCTGCAACTTCTACTTCCTTGGTTAATCTCAGGGAATCAGGCTGCATTCCAAAAAGGGCGTTCTATGGGTGATCACATTATGCTTGCAGCGGAGCTGGTAAGGGACTACAATAGACCCTCGGCCGAGCCAAGTGCAATGCTAAAAATCGATATCAAGAAGGCGTTTGACTCAATTAGCTGGGATTTCAGAAAACTTCTTGGGTACAGGGACCATGCAAGGGAATTTCTCAGATGTGTACTCGGCAATGGGAAGGCAGCAACTTTTTGGCACGATGACTGGACAGGGATGAAGCCACTTATAGAGCGCATTGGGGCTGCAGGCCCTCGTGCTCTCAGAAATCCCCTATATGCTACTGTCGCTGAGGCTGTTAGAGGTTCAAACTGGAATTTTCCCGGAGCTCGATCTTCGGCAGTCCAAGTTGTGTTATCTAGGATCACAACCATTCTTCCTCCAACAGTGGATGCTGGCCCGGACAGATTCGAATGGAAGACAGCGACTGACTCCTTCAGTACGCAGTTCTCTCCGACAAAAACTTGGGACGTAATAAGGGATCGTGCACCGAGGGTTCCGTGGTTTCGGCTAGTTTGGTCCAGGTTTGCTACTCCGAGACTTAGCTTTAACTTATGGCAAATTTTTCTTGGCAGATTACCCACTTTGGATCGTCTTCAAAGATGGGGCATTACAGCAACCGCTACATGTGTTCTTTGCCAGCAAGCTCCAGAATCTCATGACCATCTCTTCTTCGACTGCGAATTCAGCAATGCAATCTGGGAGTTCTTTGCATCTGCATGCTATAGCTCTCCTCCATCATCCCTTGAAGAGTGTACAGACTGGTTGCATAACCAACTTGACGATGAACCCTGCACAAGGAGGGAGCTCTCCAAGTTGGTTCTGCACGCTGTAGCATACACAATCTGGCAGGAACGAAACGTGAGGTTATTTCGGAATGAATCCAAAACGATAGCAGCTCTCCGACTAGCGGTTGACAAGCTGATAAGTGATAATTATTTCCAGGGAATCCAAATTGGTGACGACTACGACATTCCTGGAGGATGTCTGGCTCTCTATTACTGATCCAATCCGTCCAATTCTTCGGCGCCGATTGATCCGACATGTTCTTTGTTATTCCACTTTTGTATTCTCTTTGGCAGGAATCCTGTACCTTTGGGTTTAATTTCGACTTAATGTCGCCTTCTACAGTAACAATTTTTTGACTTTTTAATGCATTTACCATTATAAAAAAAAGGAATAAAACAAAAACTAAACCGACAAACAAAAAAATCAAAGGCCAAAGATGTCACACACACACATATATATATATATATATGTATAATATGCTGGTATATAGCTTGATATGTTTCGGATATGTAGAAATATTTATTATGTCTACATATTTATCTAATACTTTATTAATTTTGTCATCAGATCTAAATTCATTGATTTCATTATAATTTTTTGGGGTATTTACCGGCACTCTCGTTTTCGTTTTACAGTAGGGGTGTCAAAACGAGTCCGGCTCGCGAACTGGCTCGTGGCTCGCCAGAAAACGAGCGATCTGAACTGTGATTTTTTCAGCTCATTAAAAAACGAGTCTAACGAGCCATGCTCATTGAACACGTGTTCAACGAGCATGACTCGGCGAGCTAGCGAGCTGCTCAACGAGCTGTTTTTTATTTTAAAAATAAATTAAATTTATATAAAAAATTCTAATATAATTTTATATTCTTTTTTTCATATCAATCATATGATATTATAAATATTCTAATTATTATGATGGTGATAATTGAAAATATTAAATGATATTGGAGTTTTACTAATTTTTTATGTATTTATTTAAATTTATAGTTAAATTTAGAATAAATATAAATAAAAAATATTATATATCTCTAGTTCAACGACCCGGCTCGTTCAGATCGGAAAACTGGCGAGCGATCTTAACCGAGGTTTTTCTGGCTCATTAAAAAACGAGCCTAACGAGCTATTCTGGGGAGCTTTGCGTTCACAGCGACAGTCTTGCCATCTCAGAAAACTTCTTGGGTACAGGGACCATGCAAGGGAATTTCTCAGATGTGTACTCGGCAATGGGAAGGCAGCAACTTTTTGGCACGATGACTGGACAGGGATGGGGCCACTTATAGAGCACATTGGGGCTGTAGGCCCTAGTGCCTTTTGGTATAGAATGTCTAGTGCATTTTACTCGGTTTTGCATATTTATAGGCATTCTAGAGAACATTTGGTCTCGATATTGTTTGGTTGCTTTCTTTGGTGTCAAAACACGTATTCATGCATAAAAGACAGCAAAATGGATGGAGAACATGGACTACGAAACATCACAGACGATACGGGAACATTTGGGGTTGTTCCGGGAAAAAAATAAAGCCTAAAAAGTCAGATCTTGCAAGTCTAATAACTTTCACTCTACAAGTCCAAATCATACGTTCTCTACAATTGAAAAGCCCTCTTCAATATCTATGCATAGACACCAAAATCGTGCAAATCCGACATTGGAGCAGAAAGTTATGAGCAAATCTATAAAGCATGTTCG